GGGGACTGGGCTAGATGACCTCTCAGGGTCCCTTCCAGTTCTATGATTCTATGTACCTGCTCTTTGTGACAGTTTTATTGATGAACTGTACTATGATAATATACAATCATACTATTGTATGAACTTGTGCAAATCTAGTGTACGTCATGCTTAATTCTGATTTTTGTTAACTCATATGAACTCTGCATGGAATATTGGAAATCAACATTTTTCTTCCTGGATGGTGTTGTTGACAGATACTGTGCAGCAATTGCTTATTCAATTCAAACTCACTTTGCACCAAAGACCATTTTCATCAGTTTAATTGTCTTCCTTTATTAGGGCATATTGTTTGAAATCCTTCTTTAGTAATCAGGGATTTAGAACAAATTCACAAGTGTAGATTACCAAGCAGCAGTTTTACATTCAAGAGAAGGAAGAACAAACAATCTTATTCTTACACACCCTACTATATAAGAAACTGGCTGACCTTTACTGTAGTAAGTTGCTTGTACGTAAAACATTCCAGACAAAATTTGGACCTGGTGTGAGCAGGTGAAACTCTAAGTGGATATAGTTTTATCTACTTATTCTATTTGGCCACAAGTAGTTGAATATTTGCTGTTCAGCCTATTGGCTGCTTTTGCTCATCTTTCCTGTTGTCTAATGCTGTAAGAACCTGGTTCTTATGCTTTCTTTATGACCTATGCAAAATTAAGCTCTTAAAATGGATTCCCAATTATTTGGGTTTTTTAATTGCCAGCTTTATTGGAATCCAAGGGTGGGATGAGACCCATCCTTGACCTCTCTGGACTCAACAAATTAATCAAATGTGGAACTCACATATGGTCATGCTATCTGGTATCCTCCCTACTTTGTCTCAGAATCACTGACTGGTTCCATAGGCGCCAGCTTCCTCTGGGCCCCAGGGGTGCTCAACCCCCTGCTCCACCCCAGGCCCTGCCCCCACCCATCCCCTTCCCCCAACCTCCTGCCCACATTTCACCCCTGCCCTGTCTCTTCCTGCCCAGTTCTGCACCCTCCCCGAGCACACCCCATCCCCTCCCTTCCAGCGCCTCCTGCATGCCGCAGAAAAGTTGATCCGCAGTGAATGGGCGGCGCTGAGAGGAAGGGGGAGGAATTGATCGGTGGGGCTGCCAGCGGGCAGGAGGCTGCCGGTGAGTGGTAAGCACCAACTGCTTTTTTTCAGTGGGTGCTCCAGGGTTTTGAGCACTGCTTCTCTATGGGTACTGCTAGGCAAAAGTGTCTAGCTCTTGAGCACACACACCTACCTGGAATACATGTCTGCATCACATCTTGAACCACAGGTACAGTAAGTAACCCTTTCCTCCTCCCATCCTCCCTCCCCCTCACTACAGCTTCTCTGGTGATGCCCAGGAGCTCCCAGATTGGTTGTGGGCTGCTTTGTTTTTTTCCCCCATGTTAAAATAAAATCTTCCAATATTTTCATTTAGAAGCAGTTAGCACCTGTATGGTTTGGTGTATGGACCTGAAATTGGGCAGGGAGTTGACCTGGCGTTAGAAATGTGCTTTTGCCTAAGTTATGAGCCTCTGAAAATCTTGATTTACACATGCTGAGTGAACACTTAGTGTGGCAGCCACATGCTGCGAAGAGCCTGCCTGCACTGAATATGCTCCTGCAGAAGGTTGCAGGCGCTGCTCCCAGCAGAATGGAGAAGCATTGTTCTCATTGTTCTCCTTGCTGGTGTTCAGGCAGCGTGGAGGAAAAGGAGGCAACGTCTTGACTGGAAAGCAGAGGGGTGAGAAGTGTTGGTGGCAGCAGGAATGTTGCAGAAGCTAGATGGCGAGAAGTAGCAGAGTGTGGTTGGCCAGGAACCATAGGATGGGGTCAACAGATAGGAAGAGGTGACTGGAGCTGGTTTGGGGGAAGAGGGGTAGGTTGTAAAAGAAGAAAGGAGGCAGGAGCTGGGTTGGAATAAATAGAGAGCTGGTGGACAAAGACAGGCTATGGGGCACATGGGCTTAATGCTCTAACCACCAGAGTACGCTCCCTTCAGAATCTGAAATGTTGCTGATGGAACCTTAATTTGGCCTGCCCGTGTGCGTGCGTGTGCATTATGATCTTTTTATTATATGATCTATTTCCCCATCCCTCCTCTCCGCTCCACCCCGAACCCTTGCCTTATTCAGTGCACAGGATGACAACCAATCAGGGTTGTCTGTGAATGAGATTGTCTGTAGGAACTCTGCTTCATTTGTTGCAGAAGTTGGAAGGTGTGTAGTGAATGAGATGGGATTGTAGGAAGAAAGAATGGTCTGCTGGTTAAGGAAATTAAGTGCCGCCCTGAAGAATTAGATTCTATCCTTGCTTCTACCACAGAGTTCCTGTGTGATGTTGGGTAAGTCACTTCAACCAAACTTTTCACAGACAGTCGTTAATTGTGTTCCTCATTTCCTGGGTGCCCAGTGTGAGACATGTGTGGCCAGATTTGCGGAAGTGCTGAGCCCTTGCAACTGGAGTCTTACATGGCACTTTTCCTCAGTAGATATCAAAGCACTTTACAAAGGAAGTCAGCATCATTATCCCCATGGGGATATCACCACCTGTTCTCACAGGGATGTTGTGGAGATAAATTAATTAAGGTTTGTGAAGCACTTGGTGAAAGCATGATAGAAATGCCCAGCAGGAAACTAATAATTTTGTATTCAGCACAGGGTTTGGATGGTATATGTTAAATAAGGTTGGGGGCCATGCTTTGAATCAGTAGGATAAAAAGGAATATTGAATAACTACACATTCACTGAACGAAAAAATAGTATATGATCATGTCACTAAAGACAGAGACTCCTCCATCATAATTCATAAACACAAGGGGGACAGAATTAAAGTTGCATGGACAGCCTTAATTCTGGCAGTTCCTAAACTATGAGAACTTGACTTTGCAAGTTTAACTTTCTTAATGTAGTGTTTTAAATATAATTTTATATACAGTTTTATGTTCCTTCTTATTCATCTCCATTTCTAAGATAAACAGTCCTAATCTTCTCACTTTTCATGAGAGCGCTTTCATATCCTAATTATTCTCCCCTTTCTCTGATTCCCCTCCACTTAATTCTGCAATAATTCTTTTTGAGATGGTGACCACTACTGCATACAGAGTCCATATGATGGTGCAACATTTAATTATACAATGGAGTTATAATATCTTCTGAGAGTCTCCATTTCCATTCTTTGTTCATCCTTATATCTTGTTAGCTGTATCAAGTCAGGAAAGGGATCTATGCATTATTGTGGACCGTAGTGAAGATGTTGACTCTGTGTGCTTGTAAAAAAAACTAACAAAAACCCCCGCCCAGACAAATTTAGAACTCTGTAAGGTTTGAGAAATTACAAAGTAATCTATATTGGAGGAAAAATTTGGATTTATCAATGTTCAGTTCCATCTTTGCATTCAAGAAGTTAGAGCCTAAAAGCCCAAGTTCATTTCACAGTTTAGATAACTTATTTAGAATGGATAGGGAGTGTGTAGTCCTAATACATTTTTGAAAATATCTTTGGAAGTATAGCTATGTTACAGCTGGTTCTACAGGTTTTTAATAGTCTTTGGAGGGAGAATGAAGCTGAAATACATTCTCACTTGCTATTATATCAACCAAGCCAAAGTCAGGTCTGAGTGGTGTTCTGGTTGCAGGAATGCACTGAAGTAGCTTTGATAACTTTTGTGCCAAAACACCCCCTACATATAAAACTATATATTTTTCTTCAGTAATACTGCCTTTTATCATAGATATACTATGCTCCCTGTGACAAAGTTCCTCCTCTGCCTTGGTGGGTTCTACGCTTTCTGGCGGATTTGCTCACCTCAGAGGTTTTCGGCAGTCCTCAGTTTGTCTCTTTTTATTAGGGGCACAAACCTGCTGTTCATTCGGCTAACCTCATCACTGGCCAGCATGGGGAAAAGGAGGAGAACAATCCCCCTCAGTCTCTGCTGGCCCACCTAATGGGTTGTGGGACAGGCCAGAGACCTTCCCCTCTGGTGGGACCTACAGTCCAGATCAACTCCTCTTATATCAAATTGGGGGATGGGGGGAACAGAATTGTTTACAAGCCCACTGATTGCAATGGCAATACACTGGTATTACTGCAAGGCACAATATAAAGGCAAATTTGTGTAAATAAAGACTTAATTTCGCCTGTAGAAATTCTTGCTACTGGTGGAAGAGTCAGTTGGGGAGGAAGAATAGTTAATGTATAGAGTCCTGGACTGTGACATTGGGTTTAATTTTTGGTTTGGCCAAAGACTGACTTTGGGAGCTTAGCAAGTCAATTAACTTATTATTTGTGTCCGGCACAAGGGGGGAATTGAACCCACATCCTAGAGTACTCTAATCAGTGAGCTAAAAGATATAAGGGAGGTCCTCCTCCACCTCAAAACCCCTCCCTCAAAGCATTTTTTTAAATAGTCCTCTTTGGCTTTTGTCAAAATGTCAAAAATCTAAAGAAAATTGTCTTGAAATCGGTTGAAACAGAACGCTTTGTTTCAACATTTACTAAAATGTCTTTTTTTTTTTTGGTTTGGTGGACACTTTTGTGAACTCTACACACAATCTTTAACAGTTCAGGATCAATTGAAGCTGCAATTTTTGGCAAATAAGCAATTTGCTGAAAAATTGTGCCTATTTCTACCTCAGAGTACAACTTGCATTGACTTCAGACTGAAAACCTTCCTTGGGAGTATAGCCTGCCTGGTTGAAGCATTTAAGCTATTTTGACTTGTCGAAGGTGGCTTTGGTGCAATATAGTATGGGCTATTTGTTTACCTACTTTTTGTTTTGAGTTTCTGTTCTCACAGTAAGAATGTTAGTGAGGCCTTACACTTGTCCTTTTTCAGCATAGATGAGCATTTTAAAGGGTTTTTTTTCTATTTTTTAATCCATTGATTAATTCATTGATTTTTATCCACCCAGGTTGACTGCAACTAGCTGCCATTGACAAAATTTAATTTGTTGATGTTAATGATGGACTGATTTATTTTCAGATCTCCATAGAGAATGATTACCTAGGCCCCAGGAGGATTGAGAGCCTACAAAAAGAAGATGCAGATTGGCAGCGGAAAGCCCACATGGCTGTCCTTTCTATTCAGGATCTTACTGTTAAGTACTTCGAAATAACAGCCAAAGCACAGAAAGGTAACCATTTTACACTGTCTTTATTTTTTTCACATAAAGGTTATTTGAAATCTAAGTTGAATTTTAATAGTTCCTTTTTTTAAGAAAGGGGAAAAATATGGTCCGAGAAAGTATAGGCCTGTTAGTTTGATCCCAGTTCTATGCAAGGTCTTGGAACAAATTTTGAAAGAGAAAGTAGTTAAGGACATAGATGTTAATGGTAATTGGGATAAAATGCAACATGGTTTTACAAAAGGTAGATTGTGCAAGACCAACCTGCTCTCCTTTTTTGAGAAGATAACTGATTTTTAGACAACAGAAATTAAGTAGATCTAATCTACCTGGATTTGACTAAGGCATTTGATAAGGTTCCACATGGGAAAATATTTGTTAAATTGGAGTAGATGGGGATTAGTATGAAAATTGAAAGGTGGATAAGGAACTGGTTAAAGGGAGACTACAATGGGTCATACTGAAAGGTGAATTGTCAGGCTGGAGGGAGGGGGCTCCTCAGGGATTGGTCTTAGGACCAAACTTATTTAACGTTTTTATTACTGGCACAGAAAGTGGGAATGTGCTAATAAAATGTGCAGATGAGACAAAGTGGGGAGGTATTACCAATATAGAGGAGGACTGGAATATCATACAAGAAGATCTGGATGCCCTTGTAAACTGGAGTAATAGAAATGGGATAATATTTAATAGAGCAAAGTGCAAGATAATGCATGTAGGGACTAACAAGAAGAATTTTTGCTATAAGCTGGGTATGTATCAGTTGGGAGTGACAGAGGAGGAGAAAGAACTGGGTGTATTGGTTGATCACAGGATGACTATGACCAGCCGGTGTGATGTGGCTATGGAAAAGGCTAATGCAGTCCTAGGATGCATCAGGCGAGGTATTTCCAATAGAGACAGGGAAGTGTTGGTATCACTGTGCAAGGCACTGGTCTGACCTCATCTGGAATACTGTGTGCAATTCTGGTTTAAGAAAGATGAATTCAAACTGGAACAGGTGCAGGGAAGGGCTACTAGGATTATCCCAGTAATGGAAAAACCTACCTTATGAGAGGAGACTCAAAGAGATGGGTTTGTTTAGCTTAACCAAAAGAAGCCTGAGGGAGGATCTGATTGCTCTCTCTAAATATATCAGAGGGATAAATACCAGGATGGAAAAGGAGTTATTTAAGTTAAGCTCCAATGTGGATACAAGATCAAATGGATATAAACTGGCCATCAACAAATTTAGGCTTGAAATTAGATGAAGATTTCTAACCATCAGAGGAGTGAAGTTCTGGAACAGCCTTCCAAACAGAGCAGTAGGGGCAAAATACCTAACTGGCTTCAAGACTGAGCTTGATAAGTTTATGGAGAGATGTTATGATGAGACTGTCCACAACAGCACGTAGCTGATCTGTTACTGATCGCAACAAATGTTGCCAACGGCCAGTAACGGGACACTAGAAGGAGAGGGCTCTGAGTTACTACAGCGAAATCTTTCCCAGGTGTCTGTCTGGTAGGTGTTGCCGACATGCTCAGGGTCTAACTGATCACCATATTTGGGGTCGGGAAGGAATTATCCACTGGGTTAGATTAGCAGAGACCCTGGGGTTTTTTCATCTTCCTCTGCAGCATGGGGCATGGGTCACTTGCAAGTTTAAACTAGAGTAAATGGTGGATTCTCTGTAACTTGACGTCTTTAAATCATGATTTGAGGATTTCAGTAACTCAGCCAGAGATTAGGGGTCTATTAAAGGAGTGGGTAGGTGAGGTTCTGTGGCCTGCAACGTGCAGGAGGTCAGACTAGAATCAATTATCACAATGGTCCCTTCTGACCTTAAAGTTTGTGAGTCTGTGTTGTTGTGCTTTTCTTTTCCCTTAGAGGAAACTGGAGCTTTCTTTCTTTTTTTCTTTCATCCTGTTTCTGCCTGTCCATCTCTCTCTTTAATCGGTCCTCCTTCTCAAACACCCACAATAGCAAACAAAAATGCTCCCTCAATGCAGTCGTGTTTGTGCTCCTCCACAGCAGCACTTTTTGTGATTAGGGCGCACCCCCCATGCAGACTAGAATTCCTGCAGGATTTTCTTCTTTTTCAGGCAGGTGGCAACCATAATATCAATTTTGTCTCACTCTTTCATCTGACTCAGCTTTTCTTGTTCCTTTCTCTCATCAGTTAGACCTTACATAACTGTAACTATCTTGATACACTATTCAGAGAATACTTTACCCAGGTTCATCTGCAAAAGGTATCTGCTGTTTGGAAGTCTGCCCTGATGTAACTAAGGCCTTTTCTATACTAGAAAATGCACCAGTATAACTAAATCAATTTAAAAGTCACTCTAGTTAAATCCTAACATAGACATGCTTAAATTGGCCCTTCCTTGTATTGATTTAGCTTAAGTCAGTATTTTACCAATGCAAGCTACACTGATTTAAGCAAGGGTTAAACTTGTTTAACGACAGTGAATTTTTAAAAACATTATTTAGTTAAATAAGTGCACCGTGAAGTATAGACAAGACTTTGTCAGAAAAATGTTTTCCTGTGACTTATTTGCCATCAATGTAGGTGAAGTAGCTAGAATGGTCCCTTGAAAAAATGTGTTAACTATTTATGTTAAACAATCTGTTTCACCTGGTATTTAGTTGTGATGCTTTGAATAGGTTTCCCAGACCTGAAGAAGAGCTCTGTGTAAGCTCAAAAGCTTGTCTCTCTCACCAACAGAAGGTAGTCCAATAAAAAATGTTACCTCACCCACCTTGTCTCCAATATCCTGGGACTGACATAGTTACAACACTGCATCCATCCATCCCTCTGTTGTCTCTTGTCTTATATTTAGATTGTCAGGTCTTTGGGGCAGCTCTTTTTGTTCATATTTGTACAATGGGGTCCTCATATATGATTAGGGCTCCTAGGTGCTATGGTAATTCTAAGAATAATAAAAATAAGGACAGATTTTGTTACTGAGTGAGGAAGCAAGGTGTGAGTAACCAACTAGCTTGCCATTCAACAGCTATCCCTTACTGAGGGTACCACTGCATTAAACACCTGGGCCCAGATTTAGGCCTAAATTCCTTTGAGGATCTGGGGCCTGGAGACTGAATGCTTCATCTGTGGACTCCTGAATTTCAGCGAGTTTTGCGTAGTAGAAGTGTTCAAATAATGTCATGTAATTGCCCTGCATGGTTTAAATCAGTGAATGGCTTATCTGTCTCAGCCCAAGTAGTGGTTGGTGCTCAAGATAAATGAGTTCTAATCTTGATCAGGCAAGGGACTTCTGCTATCCTGGAAGGTTCCCGAAGAAATTCAGATTCATCTGGTTATGACCAGGTCTTCCTGTATTCTGTATGGTTAACTTGAACCTAATTATTTGGCAAGGAACCTGGATTTTCCAACAGCTTCAACTTTTAAAATAAAATGTTTTGTTACGTTAAATACACAGTCAGTACAATATTCATTGGGGTGTTAAATTTAATATTAAAGTGTAATTTTGTTGCCCCATAATTCTTAGTGCTGCAGATTTATATTGAACACACAACTGCAAGAAGTTGTCAAGGGAAGCTGGAGGCTTTGGTAGGTAGAAGGTGACATTTGGGACTCTAAGCAGTTGGGAACATATGGGAGGCAGTTTAGAATTATAGGCTAAACACATCAGCTGGATATTTCTGTTAAATCAGAGGCCTCAACCTAAATAAATATCAGGAAGTTGCAATTATATTTCCCCTCACATATTGCTATTTGGGAGGGAGTTGGGATGGGGGCAGTTGGTGGTTCCCTCTGGAGATAGTTTGCACCATTGTGCTTAAATGATTAGCAGTGAAACAGTATTGGCATTTAGATTGCCATTATAAGGGCTCAAAGATAACACTCAGTAGGTAAATGTGGAAGCTCACACTTATTTTAAAGATATTATTCAGGCTGTTTACAGACTTGAGTCGCTGTTATTCAGTTCACAAAGTTTTCTTTGCAAGTAGTAAAGCTAAAATGTAGGGCCCTGGAGGTATCCTAGATATGTAGGATTGGAAGAGACCTCGTTGGTCATCTAGTCCAGTCTCCTGAACTGAAACAGGACAAAGTATTATTTATATCAGAGGTTTCTAGACTTTTTTCTTATTGTGTACCCTCTGCCAGATCAATCAGCTGCCTGAGTACCGCCAGTGATGCTGTATATATAAGAAAGGTGACCATTTATATCACTGTTGTTACCACTGTTAAACAATTTCCATAAATCTGGTGCAAAGTATGGCATATAAAACATCAATGGAAAAGTTATGATTTGCTAAGTATGATTATCTTCTTTATATGCATATCATGTTTGTATCTGAAGTCATGAATATTGGCTATGTACTTGTATTGTATTCCTTTAGGACTTCCCCCAGATAGCTGTCTAGCCCTAATGTAAACCTATGTCGGCGGTTGTCAAACTGCGACTCGCGAGCTGCATGTGGCTCTTTTTACAGTTAAAATGGGGCTTGCAGCCCCCACCCCCCTTCTCTGCCTACCAGACTGGAGCAGGGAGGTCAAGGTTTCCACCCCATGGGAGATGCCTGTCTGGGGTTGGGGCTTCAGCAGGAGCAGTGCAGAAGCCCCGAGCCCCAGCAGGCACCTCCTATGTGGCTGAAGCCCTAAGGGCCCCCCCCTCGCCCCACTGCAGGGCTGAAGCCCCAAGACCCCACCACAGGACAAGAGCCCAGCAGATGCGCCTGGTTCTCAAACTTCTGAAGATTATCATATGCGGCTCGGAGGGTCAGTAGGTTTGGCCACCCCTGAGCTATGTATTGATGGCCCATTAATGTATTGATGGCCCATCACTCCACTCTCTCATATGGCCCATTGAAGAAACTCATCCCGCTCAGTAGGTGTTCCTGTGGATGCCTCAGACAGCGAGGAGCCAATGGCCACCCCTTGTGATTCAGCAAAACATATAGGGGCATGTGATATGTTCATGTGACCCCGGACTCCATCTTGGGCCAGTAACTTTCCATACATAGGGGCTGTGGAATTTGTTTGGGACAGTAAATTTCCATGCACATGGCAAAGAATAGAAAAGACACAGGAGACAACTCCATTTTGCTTCTTTCCTGCTCTAATTCTCTGGACTGTAGATTAACAACTACAGTAAAAGGAGCATCTTGAACTATGGACTGAGGACCTTCCAATCTTTTGGAAGTTACCAGAGACTTTTGCAAGCCAGCAGTCTATTCCGTCACTGCTACAAACCCGATATAAGAACTTTGCAATCATTTTTGTATGTATATGATCTATTAACCATTTATCTCTCTCCTTTTATTAATTAATCTTTCATTAGTTTTCTAAAGATTGGCTGACAACATATTTGAGTAAGATTTGAGATACATATTGACCTGGGGATAAGTGTCTGATCTTTTGGGATTAGTAAGAATCTCACATATGGTGAAATGGATTTTCAATAACTTCTTACTATATTAGACTTGGCTGGAATGCCTAAAGGGAACTGTGTTTTGGCTTCTGGTTAACCAGTGTGGTAATGCAGAAGCTGTTTTATTACTAGCTTGGTGAATCTAATTATAGAATAAACCACCAGCTTTGGGGATTGCCTGCCCTGTTTCTTGCAGTCTGCCCTGAGTGTACATTCTCAGTGTGATCCATCCCAGGCACTCGGTCACACCCACTTGCAGATCTACTAGCTGCCCATGTACCCCTACTCTTCTCTGCACTGATACTACCGGTCTTTAGCCATTTGTCCATATTTCACTGTTACTTTCAGATATAGTTACAGTGTGACGTATACAACCAAAAAAAAAGCCCCTGACTAAGTTTTGAGCTCTGTTAGACTGGACAGCTTTTCAGAGTGGTAGCCGTGTTAGTCTGTATCAGTTGTTTTTGTTTAGACCGAACAGTTGCTGGGCAACTGAACCCAGGCTGTACGGTGATTGGAGGTGAGGGCTTCTACATCAGCGTCTCTGTATATCCATGTTCTCATTGGTACATCTTGAAGTAAATTAACTACCCTATTTTATGTAACAAATTCCTCCAGAGTTTTAAAGCTTTAAGGTTAGCCTATTAGGAAAATGTAATAAATAAAATAATAAATCCACCATTACATAATTTCTCCTGCATACCCCTCAGAGATGTCCGGGGGAGGGGGCATTCCAGGGGGTTTGCATACCAAAGTTTGGGAGCCCCTGATGTAGATCATCCCTGAAATGTTTGTCTAACGTGTTTTTAAAAATCTCCAGAGACTGAGATTTCATAACCTCCTGATGTAATTTGTTCCAGTGCTTAACTACCCTTACAGTTGAGAAGTTTTTCCTAATGTCTAACCTAAATTTCCCTTACTGCAATTTAAGCCCTTGTCCTGTCTTCTGTGGATAAGGAGAACAATTTATCACCCTCTAGAACAACCTTTTATGTACTTGAAAACTGTTATGTCCTTCCCAATTCCGATATAGTTCAGGTGAGTATGTTTTACACTGTTGTGCTTGTTGTTTATTTTAAAGGCTTAGCTTCTCTGACAGTGGGTGGTTTTTTGTGGCAGCAGAACTATGGAGTACGATGATATACCTATAAACTTAACATTGGCGAGTGCCTCAAACAAAGTAAACAGAAATTTGAAACAAACTAGGTTTCAAAAATTTTACTAAATTTCAAACTGTGTCTACAGTGGTCAGAAGCAGAAGTATAATGGAGAATGATAGTTCTGGAGAGATTGTGTAGTTGCAGAAATCATGCAGAAATTACTATTGCAGAAATTGTTGATGTATTTATAGGAATTGTGATAGCGCTAACAAATTGTATATGAAATTTAACAGCACATCAAATTTCATGTATTTTAGCTTCAGAGTAGCAGACGTGTTAGTCTGTATCCGCAAAAAGAAGAACAGGAGGACTTGTGGCACCTTAGAGACTAACAAAGCTTATGAGAGCATAAGCTTTGTTAGTCTCTAAG